TTCTCGAGGACACAGGGTTATGATTAAGCACATATGATAGTAACTGTAGAGCTGGTAGACCCCTATCTTAAATATAACCTAACTCAAATCTCTCACTTTACAGATGAGCAAACAGATACACAAAGAGGTTATGCAATTCCCCCAAAGTCATACAGTAGGAAATCATACAATAGGAAGGTCATGTGATTACCACATGCCAGGCTGCCACATCTATTATTGTACTATGTTGAACACTATCTTGCAAGAAAATAAGGATTCAGGGGCACAGAACCCCTTATATTTGTTATTTTTCTTATCCCTTCTTTTTTCCATAACCTTTAGCAATAAAGTTCTTTAAATGTACCTATATTTTTTTTCTTCTGCAAGAAAATGATAAGCCAGCTTACTCCGTGGCCCATCTTAGAGAAAGAACTCTGTAAGATAATGTGGTATACTTTTAAAAAAGAAAGTGATGCAGATTTAACCTCTGTATGGTCTTCGAAAGCAAGGATAAAATGAAAAACCCATGCTGTCTTAAGAATAGCTTTGGGGATGTGACTGTCAAGAAGTTGAAAAAGTTCCTTAAGAAAAATCAATACATAAACTTCAAGAGGACAAGGTATCAATAAATATGGGTGCTTGTTGCTACAATAAATGGGGTCAAACCATTGTACTACTTCATGTAGGGTTGCATCTTCCCTTTTCTATACAGATATAAACTGTCACTTATATATCTAATAATATCCCCAACACAGTTTTTGCAAAAATTGGTAATTCTCTCTATATCTTCAAAGGGGATAATTCTAATATGCTGAGCATGCTAGAAGTATTTCTAAAATAAGAATAAGTTCTGAGACATGAAGTATTTCCCTGTATATGAAGCATGTCAATATTATCACAAAGCTCTTAGATCTTGACTACTCTTCTGTTCAGTTCTGCTTTCTGCTAGAGTATACAGATAAGTCACCTCCAATGAGAGGTTACATTATATTGGGGGGGGGGGGTGTACCAGGGGCACTAGACTACTGAGCCACATCCCCAGCCCTATTTTTTTTAAAAGAGAGAGAGAGAGAGAATTTAATATTTTTTTTTTAATTTTCAGCGGACAAAACATCTTTATTTGTATGTGGTGCTGAGGATCAAACCCAGCGCCACGCGCATGCCAGGTGAGTACGTTACCGCTTGAGCCACATCCCCAGCCCCGTTTTTTTTTTAATTTTTTTTTACTTGTAGGTGGACACAATACCTTTTATTTTATTTTTATGTGGTACTGAGGATCAAACCCAGTGCCGCATGAGTGCTAGGTCAGTGCTCTACCGCTAAGCAACAGCCCCAGCCCCCCAGCCCTATTTTGTATTTCATTTAGAAGCAGGGTCTGAGATGCTTAGTGCCTCGTTTTTTGCTGAGGCTGGCTTTGAACCGGAGATCCTCCTGCCTCAGCCTCCCAAGCAGTTAAATGGGATTACAAGCATGGGCAACCGCACCCGGCTTATAAGGATTATTTTTAATGTCCTTTATTCTGTTTCTTTCTATTTTTCCACAGTTCAGGTACTTTATATTATTCTTCTGCCTTTGGTTACTCAAGAGATACTTTCTGTATTTTCTTAGTAGAAAGAAATGGGCTTAACTAAGAAAGTACATAGAATATTTTTCCCATGATCTCTTGAATATGTGATCTTAAGGAAAACTTACACCTTGTCTTAAAGAAAACAAGAATACAAATTAGTCAAGATTAAAGGGATTTTTAAAATATTCTCAGATGATTCTACTTGAAGCAATTTTCTCTTGGCAGAACTTTAACTAAAACTGTAAAAAGAAAAATTACATCTCATAGCCTATTTCTTCATGTTTCTGATATGTGTATGGTAAATTTTCCTTTGTTAATAAAACTAAAATAACAATACACTATTTTTCCTATGATTTATACTAATAGTTCATTTAATAAATTAAACAAAAAGCAACAAGGCTACTTTTCTATTTTAGAAAAGAAACAATCAAATGCATTACAAATAATTCCCATAAAGGCAATGATAGGGATATTGAAATTGTTTTACTTGGGAAATGACTTTCATCTAGTATTTCGAGTTCCATGTACCTAAAAACAATTCATATCATAGGGTTTGTTTGTTTGTTTTTTGGGGTTTTTTTTTTGTTTTTTTTTGTAGCGGGGGTGGTCAAGGACTGAACCCAGGGGCACTTAATCACTGAGCCACATCTACAGCCCCCCCCCTTTTTTTTTTTTTGTGGAATCTCGTTCATTTATTTATACATACATACAAACAAACATTTATTGAACATATAGCACATACCAGGTCCAGTGCTGGGTAGAAATAATAATAATAATAATAATAATAATAATAACAACAACAATAATTTGGGCTCCTCTTCTCACAAAAAATACAGATAATTATAATATCGGGTTTAGAAAGAGCTTTAGAAAACTTTTCCCCCTTCTGCTCTTTGAAGGTATACACAGTGTGATCAAGTCAGAGAAAGTTGTAGAATACTGTTTTTTTTTTTTTTAATATTTATTTTCCATTTCTCGGCAGACACAACATCGTTGTTTGTATGTGGTGCTGAGGATCAAACCCTGGCCGCACACCTGCCAGGTGAGCACGCTACCGCTTGAGCCACATCCCCAGCCCCAACAGCCCCTTTTTTTAAAAAAAATTTTGAGGCAGGGTCTCCCTAAGTTGCTTGGCCTCACTAAGTTGCTGGGGCTGACTTTTAACTTTTGATCCTCTTGCCTCAGCCTCCGGAGCTCCTGGGATTTCAGGTGTACACTACCATGCTGGCCTCCTATCATAAATTTAAGCAATGTGCTTGGGGAAAAAAATAGTTATGAGGCACTACTGAGCAATATGAAAAACTTAACTTTTAAGATTAGTTTCCCATAAGCTGTTCTCATACACTGAGAATTAATATTATAGTCCATAGAATGGTCTAAAATAAACCATTTTTCCAAATACAAAAGAAGCCTCCTAATGCAGTTTCCTGGGTCACTTATAGTATCTTCCTCTGTAGACTCAGAACAGACTACAAAAAGATAGGCATATTCCATATTTTTAACTGTACCAGAAAGTAAAACATTTATTAGAAGAATAAAGAGCACTTAACAATATAAATTAACATTCATCAATTAAAATTTGAAGCCAGTAAGAAAAATTCTCTTGATTTGAAATTAAAAAAAAAAAAACCATGTTCCTAGGTAACAAAAAAGAAAAGCAAGAATATAGACTTCCAGTACAATATAAAATAACTACTGTAGGATAGATGTTTTCAGTTTTAAGGCAGACTAGACAGAAAAAAAATGAATACCTATTGGCTTTTTCCAGCCCTCACCCAGCATTTCTTTATTGCAGCTATAGCCAGGCTATCTGCAGCTATAGCCAGGCTATCTGCAGCCATGTAGTTATTTTCAGGCTGGGAATAAACATATCCTTGCTGTTCTGAGAACAGTTACTCAGGAACTAAGAGAATTTGGGGTTAACAACACCTTAAATGCTACCTAATGTGTCTTCCCTACATTCAAAAAGAGGAAACCAAGGCTCTGAGAAATTGTGTGGCTCATCCAATTCACATAACTAATGGACAAGCAAGATCTGAACCAAGTGTTCCCAATTATTTCTACTAATACAGGTCAACTCTGAGAGTCAGAACAACCGTTTAACTTTCTGGGATTTAAAGGGTCTTTGAGGGCTGGGGCTATAGCTCAGTGGTAGAGCACCTGCCTTGCACATGAGGCACTGGGTTTGATCCTCAGCACCAACTAACTAAAAAATAAAATAAAATAAAAAAGGGCCTTTGAAAATTTATCAGCTGTGTGATCTTGGTCAAATTGGATTTCCAAGCCCCTTTTTTCCATTCTGTAAAATGTAGAGAATACTTATTCTAATCAGATTGTTGTGAGAATCACACCTGTCTTGCTAAGTGCTTACTTAGCCCACTAATTAGGAAATATTAAGCATTTGAAGTCAGGTGGCTATTATTTTTACTCTGATCCTGGAAACATGGCTACTCTTACTGTTTTGGAGGACAACAAACTGAATTCACTAACACAATGGAGGGGTTTCCTTCAGAGATACTCCATATTTAGGCCTACCACATTATACTGACAGGAGAAAATCTCCCCCATCCCATCCAACAACGGATTTCATCTCATCCAAAATTTATACCTTACCCCTTACGCTGTTAAGAAAAAAATACTAATCGTGACAAACGTTTTCTGCTACATGTTGTACGTTTAATTTGTCAACTAGAAATTGTAGGGGTGGGGGTGGGTAATGGCTCCACCCAAAACATGGAGAACAAACGATGGGAAAAGAAGGTCACAGAACTCTGGAGCTTGTTCTCAGCACATTTTAGTTGTGGGTGGATAGGTGGGCGGGAGAAAGCAAGATGACTTCTTCCAGCATCATAAAGCACGAATAATGGCTACTTCAACAAAATATAATTCTCTAGGTTTCGTAACAAAATAGAAACGAATCTGTTTCCTTTCCCTTAGCAAATATGCACACGGGTCACAACTGATTATCATTCTTGTAAAACTGCAGATTAAGCTCTATTTCAGGTGCACTATTCCATAGGATCACACAAATATATGAAAACATCCTATGAAATGGCGAGACAAAATGATGGGGACTATCACCATGAAATCTACAAGGAGAAAACCGTGTCATGCCAAAGGCGTCTCCATTGATAAAATCCCGACCGTCTGTTCTCATGACACTGCAAACCCACCTCTCTCTAAGGAAATGAACAGGAATCACCACAGCAACCAACCTCAGCAAACGGCATCGACCAGATCGACCCCTACTCAAATGGCGTTAAACACCGCGGGTCCAAGCCCCTCCCTGAAGCTGCCAAGTCCCGCGCTGACTCCAGACTACCTCACTTCCTTTTCGTCCTCCCTCACATGCGCGACCCCCGGCACTCCTCGCCAACCCTTGCCACTGACAGAGAAGGTAGAAACAAGACAGACTTCGTACACTTTGTCTGGGAAGTACCAGGGCCACACATACCCGTCCCTATTACGATCACATCAAACTCCGAAGGGAGATTATCCGCCATCTTGAGAGGAAACCTGTCATGTGACTATTGCTTGTGGAAATGAGATCAAGTTAGGTATTCCCTGGGTAGGAGGCGGAAGGGAAAATAGTGCTTTCTGGGTATTGTAGTTCTTGCATGGAGGCTCCAGGTAGACAACTCCAGCGTTCGATGAAGTGTTTGCGCAAATGTTAAAAGCCCCACTCACGTTCCAAGCTGAGTGCAGTAGCTCGTTTAACACGGAGGTTTGAATTAGAAATGTAGAATTTTTACTAACTCACTAAGATGAGTGTGGGAAAATTTGGGTACCTCTCGACAAAGATACAGCAAGAATTGTTAGGAGGCCCGGATGGCAGGGTGAACATGAAAGGATCTTGCTGTTAACAAAGGAGGTTTACATTCCAGCATGGTTTTTCGCACCAATAACTTTCATACTATAGTCAGTGTCTTTGTAGTCTCTATATCTCCCCAATGAAAACCCACAAAAACCCTTGCCCTAGTTTAGCCACAAAATCTAATGGTGCCCGAATGTTCTAGTTAATACAAGCAGGTGTTTTAGCAATATATATTTGCAAAATTAGCCTTGCTATACAAGAATGGAGGAAAGCATAGTAGACGTTAAATGTTTAAGTCAGAATCTGATTTTCCGCTCAAATAAGACAAGTCCATGCAAGATTCTCCCATTAAGCTACTGCAAAAAATTATTTAAGTAAAATGACTGTTAAAAGACTCATTTGATGGGGGCCTTTAGGTTTTCTATACCAAGCAGCTAAAATGATTTTCTTGAGTATTCTCAAGTTTTTTTAACTTCCTACTCACCATTATTTAAAATGTTTTTCTACCTGACAAACCCCAAAAGCAAAAAAAAAAAAAAAGTGGAAAAGTGCATTGAAGTGAGGGGGATACTGTTGTGATCTCAGAAATTACTTCTGAGATTCTTTTATACTACTTTCAAAATAAACCCAGGAGACTTTTCAGTGGTGGTGATACTGCCATTTATCAGTGCCCAGTTCTGCTTCCTCACATGTTGAAGTTTGAACATTAGAGAAGCACACAGAGGCAGGCATATAAAGCAGGGTTTATTTAAAAAGTAGTAAGGTAGACTTCTCCCAGGAGAGAGAAGAGGGCCATAGCTGGTATATTGATATCCCAAGAGTGAAGTGTTCAGTCCTTTTTATATGTCCTAGGCTTCCTTTGTTTTCCTGCTTTTCCCCCCTTATCTTTCTCCTTCCTGCCACTGTGACTACTAGGCTCAGGAATGCTTGGTGGGAGGGCCCAAAGGTGGGAAACTGGTGGGCTGAAGGGGGAAGGGCAAGAAACAGTAGCCAAGGACACATTAACAACCTTATAACTCCCTGTAGGGAGCAGCAGTTTCTGGGACAGGTTACCTTGGCAACAGGTTGGAGAAGGGGCAGGTTCTTGGTAAGGGTGGAGGAAGGGCTCTGAAGGAATTAACATTTCAATCCCTCAGGGCACAGTCTACAACTTCCCAGACTCAATCAAAATTGGCCTCTTTGATTGGACCTGAGTGGATTTACCTATCTCTACTGACTGTCTGTCTAATTCTGGCTTCAGTGGGACCTTCCCCTACACTACCTGTTCTCTGAGCAGCCAGTGGTCCCCCAGGCCCATTCTTTCCTTGCAGGTCTTTGTGATCAGACTCAAACTCTTGTTTCTGTAGCATAGAATGATCTATTCTTAAGATTAAGGAGGAGATATATTTAACCTGATTTGAACATTACACAATTTATACATGTCTCAAAAGAGCATATCATACCACATAAATATGTTCAATTTTAATGTGTCGGTTAAAAAATAAAATAAATAAAAGCAAAGAAGATTTTTTAGAGAACAATGAAATTTGGGGGGATTTTTTTTTTTAAATAAGTTTTGGTTCAGCTTCTGGTCCTCCTCCTTTCATCTCCACCCTATATTGGGCCAAGTTTCCCTACATGGTGCTATTACTTGTCATAACCTACCATATTAAGCTGAAATTATTTGCATTTTCATTCCTATAAGTTACACATATCCCCAAAATTACAAAAACACAAACACAGACATACGACACTATAAAACCCTGTTTTCATACTAGGAATTCAATCAATGTTTGCTGAACTGAACTTACTATCATAACAAATTATAAACCCGATGAGGACATGGACTTAGTCATTGTCTCCTTTATATCTGCTCAACACAATTATGTGTCTTGTATTTTTATGATGCTCCAAACATTTGTTAATTTTGAAATGTTTTATGAAACCCCTTAAAAATGTTTTTTTTTTTTTTTGTGGATTTCTTTGGCTTTATTTCTGCCACATTTTCCCAGAATCATTAGCAATATTATAGAAGTTTATTAATTTTCTTTATAGATTATCCTGTTGCGCTAATTGTCTTGCAATATGGTCATCTGATGAATATTTCATGCAAAATAGGTTCCCCAGAGAAGTATAATGTATTGTTCAATAAATCACTGTGTCATTTGCCTTAGAATGAAAAGAAAGTTTTGAGTATTATCAGATATGAGCTAGATCTTATCTGTGAGATTCTTGATATACTAGTGGCGATGAAAATTAATAGATTTCCCAGAGTAAACAAGAAACTTCCAAAAATAATCTCTAAAACTGAGACTCCATGACTGGGGCTGTAATTCAATGGCAGAGCACTTGCCTAGCATATGTGAGGCCCTGAGTTAGATCCCCTCTGCCAGGGGAAAAAAGTGAGATGCCACAAATGGATAGTTAAAAACATAATAAATCAAAGTATTACTTTGGAGATTTATTTATATACATGCATGTATATGTGTTACATATCATATATAACCTTTTCAATATGGGTATCTAAGTTTCTAATTTACATACATTTATCTAACAATTATACCATGAAGATAGAACTCATTAATTAATTTGTCCCTAAAATATTCCTTAAGCACCTACTATGTGCAAAGCACTAGTTTATAAGTTGGGACTATAGCAATGGAAATTTGCATCTAGTGGAGTAAAATAAAATAAATAAATAGTTAATTCTGTCGAGCTAACTTTCCAACCTGGCTTAAAATGTGAAAACACCTTTTTTTTTTTTTTTCCTGCTGATAGAAAGCTCACTCCTCAGAAAGATAATATGACCAACCCAAATTTAGATATCTTCACTCCAAAGTTATATGACTCATTCACATCCTTTCCAGGTGTACAAACAATTATTACATTGAGAAAACTTAAACCCTCTGCATTGAGAAAAAGTTCAAAATACTTTTTTTTTTTCAAATATACTTTCTTAGATGAAACCAAGAGTTGATAGTGTCAGTAAGAAAGGAATAAAAAAAAGAACTGAATTATTTTCTATCATTCTAAGAACATCTAATTTTGAGAGCTGAAATACTTTATTTGGATAAATCACAGTACAATAGAATAATAGATAACTAAGAAATGACCACCTTACTAAATCACTGTGACACTAATTTTGTATATAATGGTTTCCTGTGTTGCAATAATAACATTCCCTGAATATGTATTTTGTATTTAGAAGTTTACTCAACTGTAAGATGACTAGTATTTTTTACAAACCAGTAATTTAAATGGTCTCTCTCCCCTCGGACTTTCTATTGAGCTTCATAACCAACTGTCTAACCCCTCACTCAACAATTCTTCTATGCATGTCCAATACTGAACTCCTGAATATTTCAACTCTATCCTGAAACCTTCTTTTACTCCAGGGCTCTCTGCCTTAGAAATGGTAAGACTGTATTTACTCAAGTCAAAAACTCAAGAGTAGACCTCAGCAACTCATGCCAGATTTGTCTACAAAATGTGGTCTAAAAGACCCTGCTAAACTGTCCAGTCTCATATCTCTTCTCCTTCACTCTGTAACCTCCAGCCACATTAGCTCTTCTTCCTTTCTTCTAAAAGCCTATGCTCCTTCCTGCTCAAGGTTTTCCCACATTCTCTTACATGTGTCTGAAGTGTACCTTTATCCTTCTCCACCCCTTTCTCCTAGTTTAATCCTACTCAGTCTTTACTGTTACTTAGAAATGTCATGAACTCTGAGAGTCTTTGTTGAGTCCCCTTTCTAGTTTAATTATCCCTATTACCTTATACACCTCCTTTGTTGAACTTATCATTGTTGGAAATATCCAATCACATATAATCATTTGTTTCATCTTGCTAAAAGGTAAGCTCCATATAGACAAGGGCAGTGCCTGTATTGTTCATCACTATATTCCCAGGACATAATCCAGTGCTTGTTACAGAGTGGCATTCCAAAATATCTGCTGAATGAATAGATGAATGTTAATTATATGAATTCTTGAAGAAAAAAACATGTTATAATAATTAATTCTATTATAATGGGAATAATATGAGTCAGTTGCCCCGAACATTTATTTCAACCTCTGGTCTTTGGTTTGTAATTCATTACATATGTAGTTAATACAAATTCAAATCAGAAAAAAATGACAATACCACTAAGACTACTAAGTGTCCATATCCTGCCTGACCCCTAATTTTTTCCCTAGAGATAAACATTATTTATTACCAGTTTCTTATGACCTGCTAGAGATAATACAATAATAAAGAACATTTGTGTAGCACAAATGGTAGTACTCTATAAATATTATTATTTTCTTTATACCTTTTTTATCCAATTTTATTTTGAAAATCTTATGCTCATAAATACAAGTGATGCTGCAATGAACATCCTTCTTTAGAGAGGCAGTATGGATAATGGTTCTGAGTTCAGGTTCTTGTACAGACTCTCTAGGTTTGAGTCCCAGTTCTATCATTGAACAACTGGCCACTAGCAAGTGATTTAACTTTCATGAACCTCATTTTTCACCAATCTGGCAAACATCAATTTTCACCAATCAGGCAAAATTTAAAAGATTTGATAACACACAGCATTGATAAAGGCATGGGGAAGCAGGCACATTAATATGGTGTTGAACTGTAAATTGGTACATTTTCCTTAAAGGGCACTTTGGGCAATATCCATCAACATACCAAATGTATGTACTTAGTGATTTAGCACTTTCTCATTTGGAATTTATCCTGTAGTC